AAAGCAGTTGAATTTTTATATATATATCTGTATATTGCACAATTATAAACTCATTTTGCTTGTGGCTCCACACACAAAAAAAGACCTGTTAAAATTATACCTGTTGCTTAATTACAATATTTCTGATAACCATAGCATAGGACAAGGGAAAATAAAAAAAGAAAAAAAAGAAAAAAAACGACAAATCTGTCTGCTGGTCACTTCTTCTGTCCCAGCAGATTCGTGGTCTTTTCCTCGCTTCTTTCAAGGGCTTTCCTGTGCCAGGTGAAGGAGGCTCCAGGCAGCACCCAGGTTTTGCACTCTTGTTTCTCCCATGCTTGTGAAAGAGGTCCCAAGGTTCTGGGTGCAGGAGCGCTCCCTTGACCTGCTGAAGTCCGGAATGTAGTCGGCACAGCCTGGTCCCCTTCCACCTCTGGGAGCTGGAGTCCACTGGGGTGGCCTGACTCCCCCAATCCCCTTCCCGTGACCTGGTCACGGTGAGCCCATGTAGAGAGTCAGCCTCGCAGGCCTCCTTGCCAGTAGGGTCCGAGTGTGTTTCATCCTTCCCACTCTGTCGAGCCTGTGGGCTGGAGTGGAGACGGGAGGCCTGGCCTGTCTCGGAACCTGTGAGCTGCACCAGGGAGAATGCCAGGGACCCCAGAGTCATGTGCATCAGTCCAGTGGGTCCCATCCAGGAAGTAGTGAAGACTCCAGAAATGTCCCTTTCTTCTCCCCCATCCTATGAGTAATTGCATTTGCTTTTGTAATTCTTAATGAGCAATATCTGCTAGAGAGTTTAGCTGTAACAGTTCTTTTTGATCATCTTTTTTTAATAATTAGAAACACCAAAAAAATCCAGAAACTTGTTCTTCCAAAGCAGAGAGCATTATAATCACCAGGGCCAAAAGCTTCCCTCCCTGCTGTCATTGCTTCTTCTGAGGCCTGAATCCAAAACAAAAACAGCCATACGCTCTTTCAGTGGCCGGGCTATCCGCGAGCCCCTCGGAGGACCAGGGCTGGGGCAGCCTCTGGGCCCACATCCGGGGCCTGCTCCGGCATGTGTTCAGTGTTAGCAGTGGGTCACGATGCTCTCTCCCCACCCAGCCTGGGATGGGGGCAGAGGCGGCGAGGAGGCCGTTGCCGCTGATGTTTGGCCATGAACAGGTGGGTGTCTGCGTGCGTCCACGTGCGTGTTTTCTGACTGACATGAAATCGACGCCCGAGTTAGCCTCACCCGGTGACCTCTAGCCCTGCCCGGATGGAGCGGGGCCCACCCGGTTCAGTGTTTCTGGGGAGCTGGACAGTGGAGTGCAAAAGGCTTGCAGAACTTGAAGCCTGCTCCTTCCCTTGCTACCACGGCCTCCTTTCCGTTTGATTTGTCACTGCTTCAATCAATAACAGCCGCTCCAGAGTCAGTAGTCGATGAATATATGACCAAATATCACCAGGACTGTTACTCAATGTGTGCCGAGCCCTTGCCCGTGCTGGGCTCCCGTGTATCTGGACACTGTAACGTGTGCTGTGTTTGCTCTCCTTCCCCTTCCTTCTTTGCCCTTTACTTGTCTTTCTGGGGTTTTTCTGTTTGGGTTTGGTTTGGTTTTTATTTCTCCTTTTGTGTTCCAAACATGAGGTTCTCTCTACTGGTCCTCTTAACTGTGGTGTTGAGGCTTATATTTGTGTAATTTTTGGTGGGTGAAAGGAATTTTGCTAAGTAAATCTCTTCTGTGTTTGAACTGAAGTCTGTATTGTAACTATGTTTAAAGTAATTGTTCCAGAGACAAATATTTCTAGACACTTTTTCTTTACAAACAAAAGCATTCGGAGGGAGGGGGATGCTGACTGAGATGACAGGGGAGAGCTGCACAGATCACCCCTGCCCAGATCAGCCAGAAGCCACCCAAAGCAGTGGAGCCCGGGAGTCCCACTCCAAGCCAGCAAGCCGAATAGCTGATGTGTTGCCACTTTCCAAGTCACAGCAAAACCAGGTTTTGTTCTGCCCAGTGGATTCTTGTTTTGCTTCCCCTCCCCCTGAGATTATTACCAACACTCCGTACTTTTAAGGAAAGACAAGATTGATGTTTCCTTGAGGGGAACCAGGAGGGGATGTGTGTGCGCAGAGCTGAAGAGCTGGGGAGAATGGGGCTGGGCCCACCCAAGCAGGAGGCTGGGATGCTCTGCCGTGTGCACAGGTCAGGCTAATGTTGGCAGATGCATTTGGCCACTCCCCCCGATGCAGCTCTTCCTGGACAGGCCAGGCAGTGGGCATTCTCTCTCCAAGGTGTGCCCCATGGGCATTACTGTTTAAGACACTTCTGTCACATCCCACCCCATCCTCCAGGGCTCAACACTGTGACATCTCTATTCCCCACCCTCCCCTTCCCAGGGCAATAAAATGACCATGGAGGGGGCTTGCTCTCTCTTGGCTGTCATCCGATCGCCAGCAAAATTTAGATGTGAGAAACCCCCTTCCCATTCCATGGCAAAAACATCTTAGAAAAGCCATTACCCTCATTAGACATAGTTTTGGGCTCACAAAACACCTGACAGCCCCTCCCTCCTCTGAGAGGCGGAGATAGTGCTGACGGTAGTGACCATTGCGGGGTGCAGCATCTGGAAGAGCCAGGCAGGGTGTCTGCCCCCTCCTGAGTTGAAGTCATACTCCCCTGTGCCAGCTCAGAGGCCGAGAGCTGTGGACAGCATTGCCAGTAACAGGCCACCCTGTGCAGAAGGGAGCTGGCTCCAGCCTGGAAACCCGTCTGAGGTTGGGAGAGGTGCACTTGGGGCACGGGGAGAGGACAGGACACACTTAGCTGGAGATGTCTCTAAAAGCCCTGCATCGTATTCACCTTCAGTTTTTGTGTTTTGGGACAATTACTTTAGAAAATAAGTAGGTCGTTTTAAAAACAAAAATTATCGATTGCTTTTTTGTAGTGTTCAGAAAAAAGGTTCTTTGTGTATAGCCAAATGACTGAAAGCACTGATATATTTAAAAACAAAAGGCAATTTATTAAGGAAATTTGTACCATTTCAGTAAACCTGTCTGAATGTACCTGTATACGTTTCAAACCCCCCCCCCACTGAATCCCTGTAACCTATTTATTATATAAAGAGTTTGCCTTATAAATTTACATAAAAATGTCCGTTTGTGTCTTTTGTTGTAAAATCAAGTGATTTTTTCATAAGGTTCTTTTACTATTGGAAAAGATGGGCAGCACGCAGTTTTATTTTATTTTTGTAAGTTTTTTAATACATGTGAAAGCAAAGAATACTCAGCATGCCTTTCTAAGTGACGCGTTTGCACCTTTTGTTGGGAAGTACTGTATCCTGTGCTGTTAGCATTCTCGATAAATCTCTCTGTGAAAGTGACTCAAGGTCTGGGCTTTCATTATAAGACAGAAGTCCCCTTCCAGCTCACATGACAGCATGGTGCTGCGTTTCCTCATTGGATCTGGCTGTCCCTGGACACAGATAGCTGCCTTCAGGCCTGCCACGAGAGGCCAAGGGAAGCTTCCTTCATATGCTGGCCTCGCCGGCCCCCTCAACTTGTTCCACGCCAGTGCTTTCCAGGCACACTGCTCAGCGTGTGACAGGAAAGGCCTGGCATGAGTCAGCCTGCAGCACAACCTCCCTGCTCCTGACCCGTATGGTAGGGGCACTCCCTAGGTCTGGATGTGCTGTGGTGCTTTTGGACACCCCCACCCCTGCAGGCTGTGGCTCCTCCTGTGTCTCATTCTGGCCAGGACCCTCACATGCCCTCTGCTGACTGTTAACCTGGTTCTCTGACCAGACAAGGGCAGGCTGAGGGGTTTGCCCAAAGGGGGCCCCCTTGTTACTTAGACTTCCTTGGCTCTCAGGAGCAGCCTCACCAGGTTGGTAAGGAGCTGGAGGAGACAACTGCTCAAAGGAGTCCAGCTTCACATGCACATACTAGAAGGTACCCTCTAAAGGCCGGGCCTTGAAAGGTAGATCCCAGGACTGAAAAGTCAACTTGTATGCATTGAGCATCTCGTGCACCAGCCCTGCTCCAGAAGCTGATGGGCCTTTGTGTGTAAGCAGGACAAGTCCCCCCGTGGAGGTTAGCATGGGTGTGCATAGTCATTTCAGATACTTGAGTTGGTACGTCTCAGTAAAGTCTATCCCGTGAGAAGCCATGGGTTTCATGGTATGGTTGGCATCTTCCTTAGGAGTGGCCACAGTGGTGGTGGCTTCTGGGAAGAGACTCCAACAGGGGCCAGCTGTGGGCCTTGGCAGATCTCGTTTCTAGGAAAAGTTCTAAGTCTGTAGGGCTAGGGGTGGGGAACCCCTTCCCTGTCAGGATCAAGAGGGCAAGGGGAACTGTCGCTGGGAGAGACATCCAGCTGGAGAAACTTTAAAAAGAGTAAGTCTGCGTTGCTGCTTGTGGGGTCTTCCCCATCTCAGGGCGGGGACCGGGGGTGGCGGTCCAGACAAGTGCTCAAGGACGATGCCCAGGAGGGGACAGGAGCTCTGCCGGCGGGCTCAGGAAGCCTTCACAACTGCTTGAGCTCACCCTTGCCAAACGAGGGCTGGGGCAGCAGCAACGCGTACACTCACGGCTGTGGGGGCCAGCGTTCTTGGCACATTTCAGGACACCCAAGGAGTCTGAATGGCTCAAGGCTGCTGCTCTGTGCAGGGGGCTAGACGTGGGGCGGACGGGCAGGGCTCCTGGTAACAGCCCTGTAGGCCGCAGTGGAGAGCAGGGCTCCCGCCGGGCCGCCCAGGAGCTTTCGGCAGGCCCGGCCCCGGCCCCTTTCCGAGCAGCCCGGGCCTCCGCCCTGCCCTCGGTCCCCAACGCCGGGAGCCGCCGTTCGTCCTCCAGAGCCCCGCCCGGGCGAGCCCGGGAGGCCGACTGCCGCGCGCGAAACGCGCCGGGACCCGCACCCTCCCCGACGCGGGGCGCCCCCGTGTGGCCGAGCGCGCGGCCGCGGCGCGCAAGATGGCGGCGAGCCCGGGCACCGCCCCTTCCGCCCCGCCGGGTGTCGCACGAGGCCGGCTCGAAGGGGAAGTGAGTCAGTGTCCGCGGACCCGGCCGGCCCAGGCCCGTGCCCGCCGCGGCCTTGAGAGGCCCCGACAGGCCCCGGCCCGGCGGCGGCGGCGGCGGCCATGGCCGGGGGGCCGGGCCCGGGAGAGCCCGCAGCCCCCGGCGCCCAGCACTTCTTGTACGAGGTGCCGCCCTGGGTCATGTGCCGCTTCTACAAAGTGATGGACGCCCTGGAGCCCGCCGACTGGTGCCAGTTCGGTGGGTGGCGGGTGGCGGGTGGCGGCTGGCGGCCGGGGGGCGGAGGGCGGGGGGCGCGCGGGCTCCCGGCGCCGACGCCTGACGCCCCCTGCTCCGCAGCCGCCCTGATCGTGCGCGACCAGACTGAGCTGCGGCTGTGCGAGCGCTCCGGGCAGCGCACGGCCAGCGTTCTGTGGCCCTGGATCAACCGCAACGCCCGTGTGGCCGACCTGGTGCACATCCTCACGCACCTGCAGCTGCTCCGCGCGCGGGACATCATCACAGCCTGTGAGCGCGGGACTCCGGGCACCCCACGGCCGGGAGGCCGGCGGGCCTCACGGGGCTCCCCGACCCGGGCCTCAACCTTCCTTTCCTTCCTTGACGTCCCAGGGCACCCTCCCGCCCCGCTTCCGTCCCCAAGCACCACTGCCCCGAGGCCCAGCAGCATCCCTGCACCCGCCGAGGCCGAGGCCTGGAGCCCCCGGAAGTTGCCATCCTCAGCCTCCACCCTCCTCTCCCCAGGTAAGAGGGCCCGGTTGTTGGGCTCGGTGGACCCAAAGAAGGGCCCACCTTGACCATGGCCACGGCTGTAGACCCTGCTGCTGGTCTCTGCCTGCCTCTCACTGGTGTCTTTATGAAGCTTTTCCAGGCTCCCAGACCCATTCAGGGCCTGAGCTCGGCCTGGTCCCAAGCCCTGCTTCCCTGCGGCCTCCACCGCCATCTCCAGCCCCTTCCTCTACCAAGGTAGGTGTCCCCTGCCCCCTAGGGAAGATTCGAGACAAGGAGGAAGGAATTCAGCCTTTGGTGTACCACAGAGCCGCAGTCAGCCAAGCTGGGTCAGCTGGGAGGCAGCTGTGGTGGGGACAGCCTGGAGCCTTCGGCAGAAGGGAGGAGACAGGGGGACCCCACCTGATCCAGGCTCTCTTTCCACAGCCAGCCCCAGAGAGCTCGGTGTCCCTCCTGCAGGGAGCCCACCCCTCTCCATTTTGCTGGCCCCTCTGTGAGATTTCCCAGGGCACCCACAACTTCTCAGAGGAGCTCAAGATCGGGGAGGGTGGCTTTGGGTGCGTGTACCGGGCAGTGATGAGGAACACGGTGTATGCTGTGAAGAGGCTGAAGGAGGTGAGTGTCGCACCCTGGCGGGGACCCTGGAAGGCCATCAGACAACCCTCACTCACTTCTCCAGCCTTTCCCCCTCGCTTCCCCACACAACTCCTTCAGCCCTCATTCCGGCACAGGGTCCCTGGCCCCTTGGTTGTTCTGGGCCTCAGGCACGTGGCACTGGTGGCCCGAAGGCCTTCGCTTCGAGAGCCTCACCCTGCCCGTCTTCCCTGCCCCTTCCCCCACCGCACCCTGGGGGCTGCAGGACGCTGACCTGGAGTGGACTGCAGTGAAGCAGAGCTTCCTGACCGAGGTGGAGCAGCTGTCCAGGTGAGGCCAGATGGGGAGCCACACCAGGTCCCGTGGGGCTTCAGACCACACACTACACGACCTGGCTCCCTTGGGCGCCTGAGGCCTGCCAGGCCCAGGCAAGCTGAGGCCCCAGCCAGGGCTGCCCACCCAGTCTGGCCTGATGGAAAGTGCTCCCCTTTTTCAAACAGGTTTCGTCACCCAAACATTGTGGACTTTGCTGGCTACTGTGCTCAGAACGGCTTCTACTGCCTCGTGTACGGCTTCCTGCCCAACGGCTCCCTGGAGGACCGGCTCCACTGCCAGGTAGGCTCACCTGGCCCGGCACGCTTCCGAGGACCCAAAGCACTCCTGACACCTGGCTGGAGCCGGGCGCGGGGCCTGGGGCTTTTAGCCTGTGTGAGCGGGTCCTGCTAGCAGGCCAGGCCTGCACTTCCAGCTCCCCAGCAGCACCCCGCTCAGGATTTGGCCCATGGTGGGGTCACTTTTTTTTGAGGTGGAGTCTTTCTCTGTCACCCAGGCTGCAGTGCAGTGGTGTGATCTCAGCTCACCACAACCTCCACCCTCCGGGTTCAAGCAATCTTCCTGCCTCAGCCTCCCGAGTAGCTGGGACCACAGGCATACACCACCACACTTGCCTAATTTTTGTATTTTTAGTAGAGATGAGGTTTTGCCATGTTAGCCAGGCTGGTCTCAAACTCCTGACCTCAAGTGGTCTGCCCACCTCAGCCTCCCAAAGTGCTGGAATTACAGGTGTGAGCTACCGTGCCTGGCCTGGCCCACTGTTTTCTGTAGAGCTCTTCCCCAGGCCCCTCCCCTTTGCAAGCGGAGTAGCTGGAGGGTCTCATCAGCAAGCCCCGGAGGCAAGGGGGTCTGGGGCTACCAGCTGGACCAGCCAGCGCTGACGGAGGACCCCCTTGCCTCCTCCGGCATACTGTGTTTGGGGAGAGTGGGAAGAATGCCTTCAAGGACTTCCCGACCACCCAGGGACAAAGGGATGAGCCCTGGGAGCCTATGCCCAGCAGATTCTATTGAACATGTCCCCAGCCACTGCCCAGCCTTGAATGCTTTGACAAGCAGCCAGAGTAGCTTAACAAGTGCAGGTCACGGAGACTTCGCTCCTCGTTTTCCAGAAGGGGGAAACTGAAGCCTAGAGAGTGAAGTGGCTGTTCCAGGCTGCACGGTGACAGATAGAAGGTTGGTTGGGATCAAGGAACGGCCACCCAGCAACCTCCCCTGTCCCCATTTGCCGCCCCAGACCCAGGCCTGCCCACCTCTCTCCTGGCCTCAGCGACTGGACATCCTTCTGGGTACAGCCCGGGCAATTCAGTTTCTACATCAGGACAGCCCCAGCCTCATCCATGGAGACATCAAGAGGTGAGGAGGGGCCCATGAGAACTGCAGGGGCAGGGCCTGCAGCGAGGGGGGCCCCGTCCCGTCAATGTGGGGATCAGGCATGGCCTAGGACCTCAACACCTGGTATGGCACAGGTGTGGAAACAGGCCAAGGATGGGCCCCACTGATGAGCAGAGGCCCCCAGGCGGCTAGAGTACTCAGGGCAGTGCCAGCACTTTCTGTGGGCAAGGCACTGGGCTGGCAGCCTCAAGTCCAGCCTTACCTAAGCCGGGCAGGTGTAGGAGCTAGGACTGGGCTGACGCCACTGTCTTCCCTCCCCAAGTTCCAATGTCCTTCTGGATGAGAGGCTGACACCCAAGCTGGGAGACTTTGGCCTGGCCCGGTTCAGCCGCTTTGCCGGGTCCAGCCCCAGCCAGAGCAGCACGGTGGCCCGGACGCGGACAGTGCGGGGCACTCTGGCCTACCTGCCCGAGGAGTACATCAAGACAGGAAGGCTGGCTGTGGACACGGACACCTTCAGCTTTGGGGTGGTGAGCCACTGACCCCTCTGCTGGCTCAGAGGAGGAGAAGCCACAGGCAGGCAGAGGTGGGGGCCGCAGAGTGCACTGCGGGCCAGGGGCCATCTGTCAGGACCCCAAGAGGCTGCAGCTCCAGGGCCCCCCTCCCTCCGAGGCTCTCCTCCTCACCCTGCACCTAACTGTGTGTTTGTAATTTGTCTTCGAATGGGCCCTCCAAGTCGCCTGAGCTTCAGTCCCGTAACATCTGGCTCTGCCTTTGTCCACACCTTTGTCAGGCCCGATCCATGTCCACACCAGAGGCCTCTTCCCTGCCAAGGCCACTGCCATGCTCTCCCTCTTCCCTCTCTCCAGGTGGTGCTGGAGACCCTGGCTGCTCAGAGGGCTGTGAAGACGCACGGTGCCAGGATCAAGTATCTGGTGAGCCCCCTGAGGCGGGGCCAGGCGGGGACACACAGCTGCTGGCAGCCAGCAGGCACAGCCCCAGCGATGGGGATGATTGGGGCGCAGTGCCCATGGATGCCTCTGCTGCCACAGTGGCCGCATTTTTGAAAGTTGGCAGGGCCTCAAACAACTCCGTTTACCTTGCTGAGGACAAACGTGTTTGCCTGCAGACACTATGTGTCATAGTGTACAGACCCCATCTGGGCTGGGGGCAGGGGGAGGGCGGTCCCAGGGCGCTAGGTAGAGAAGCAGGCCCCGAGGAACCTCCTGGGCCCTAGCAGGCTGCAGCTGAGCTCTCCACGCCGTGCAGGGCAGCCTGAGCTGCCTCATACTCTTACTCCACTCTGTCTGCCTCACTATGGACTGTGGTGGGGCCAGGAGACTGCAGACCTGGGTTTTAGCCCCAGCCTGATAGTGGCCTTCCAGCAAATTCCTGCTCCCCTCTGGGCCTGTTTTCCCATATGCAAAACAGACTTCACAGAATGTGCTCAGCCAGTAATTGCTTCACTGCTTCTCCTCCTGTTTGGGGCTGTTCCTGTGTGCTGTGGGGTCTCCATCAGGATTCAGCCCCGCTGAGAACCCAGGAGCCGGGCTCAAGCCCTCCTTCCTTTCCCCTCCGCGTCCATCCATCCATGCATCCTGCTGAAGAAGCACAGCAGGCTCCTTGGGGGCCCTTGGACTTTCCCACTTGCTCCCCACCCTGCAGCCAAAGTGCTCTTTTCAAAGGCCCCTTTGCATTTTCTCTGCTCTTGGGGTGAAGGCCCAATCCCTTATGTGGTTGACCCCACAATGCCCCAGGTCCCCAGGACTCGGGGCGCTCCCTGCCACCTGCTTCACAGCCTTAGTATGTGCTGTTCCCTCTGCGAGAAAAGCCACCGCCCACCCTGGCTGTTCCTCCTGGTCTGTCTGATCTCAGAACTGGAGATGGCCTCTGGTCCTGTTTCTACCCCCAGGGTGCCTCTCTCTGCGGGGTGCCTCTCTCTGTCAGGTGCCTGTGGGGTGCCTCTCTGTGGAGCATCTCTCTGTGGGGTGCCTCTCTCTGTGGCACACCTCTGTGGGGTACCTCTTTTGCTTTGGGGTACCTCTCTGTGGGGTACCTGTCTATAGTGTACCTCTCTCTGGGTTCTTCTCTCTCTGTGGGGTACCTGTCTCTGGGGTACCTCTCTGTGGGGCACCTCTCTCTGGGGTACCTATCTCTCTCTAGGGTACCTCTCTCTCTGTAGGATACCTCTCTGTGGGGTACCTCTCTGTGGGGTACCTCTCTCTGTGGGGTACCTCTCTCTCTAGGATACCTCTCTCTCTGTGGGGCACTTTCCTTCTCGGCTCTGCCCTCTCAGGCTACTTCATGCCTCCGACCCCGGCTCCTGGGTCACTTCCTCAGGTCCTGGTAGAATGCTCCATGGGCCTCTCCCCCACCAGGAAGTCAGATCTGTCAAACCAGGGCCCAGGGTTCTGTTTGTTCCTGTATACCTAGAGCCCAGAGCACCACTGGTCCACAGTAGGTGTTTAATAAATCTCTAGAAGCTACTCGGGAGTCTGTGGCAGGAGGATCACTTGAGCCTGGGAGTTGGAGACCAGCCTGGGCAACATAGCAAGATAGGCATGGTAGTACACACCTGTAATCCCAGCTGCTTGGGAGACTGAGGTGGGAGCATCACTTGAGCCTGGGAGGTTGAGGATGCAGTGAGCCACGATTGCACCACTGCACTCTAGCCTGGGTGACAGAATGAGTCCCTGTCTCAAAAAAAAAAAAAAGTAAGTTGTAGAAAGACCAAGAGCTGTGGCACAGTGTCTCACACCTGTAACCCCAGCACTTTGGGAGGCTGAGGCAGGAAGATGACTTGAGCCTAGTTGAAGACCAGCCAGGCCAACATAGCGAGACCCCATCTCTTTTTTTTTTATCAAAAAAACAAAAAAACACCATAGGATTGAGTGACAAGGACTTGAGGATTGCAGCTGTAGGTGTGGCCACCTGGTAGCCATATTCACATTATGTATCCCACAGAAAGACCTGGTGGAAGAGGAGGCTGAGGAGGCTGGAGTGGCTTTGAGAAGCACCCAGAGCACACTGCAAGCAGGTCTGGCTGCAGATTCCTGGGCTGCTCCCATCGCCATGCAGATCTGCAAGAAGCACCTGGACCCCAGGCCCGGGCCCTGCCCACCTGAGCTGGGCCTGGGCCTGGGCCGGCTGGCCTGCTGCTGCCTGCACCGCCGGGCCAAAAGGAGGCCTCCTATGACCCAGGTAGCCAGCTGCCCACTGGGATGGGGTGGCCAGCGAGAAAGCCCACATTCCAGGCCCTGCTCTGTATTGACCCCATCTCAGCACCTGCTAGGTCTCTCTGGAGTCTCTACGCATTTCTTACTTGCCCTTTGGTTCTGTTTGGGGCAGGGCCTCTCTGAACTGAGGGTCCCGGGCAGTCCTGCTTTGCGGAGCCCAGCTCTGACCCCACTTCACAGAGAAAGAAGGAAAGAGCTTCTGCAGTGCCCCCTGCTGGGCGCACTGCACCACTGCATCTGCCTTTTTCTGTCCCCTCCCTAGTACCCCACCTCTTCTCTGGCCCCGTTTGAGGGCAGTGGGGCAGTGAGATTCACTTTGTAGAAGAGAAAGAGGTCATTCTCAGTCCTTGCCTTTGGCAGCCGCGGTTCTTAGCACTCCTTGTGACAGGAACAGAGGGGCGAGGGGCAGAGCATTCCCAACTGCAGGGTATACCGTTTTAGAGCCCCAAGGCAGGTCACGGATGGCCTGGAGCATCCCTGTGGTTTGCCCACGGGGTGACCGGCCAGGGCTGCCATCTCACCCTGAGAGTCCCTCTTTTCCACTTGCAGGTGTACGAGAGGCTAGAGAAGCTGCAGGCAGTAGTGGCGGGGGTGCCTGGGCATTTGGAGGCCGCCAGCTGCATCCCCCCTTCCCCACAGGAGAATTCCTATGTGTCCAGCACTGGTGGTGCCCACAGTGGGGCTGCCCCATGGCAGCCCCTGGCAGCACCATCAGGAGCCAGTGCGCAGGCAGCGGAGCAGCGCCAGAGAGGCCTCAACCAGCCTGTGGAGAGTGACGAGAGCTTAGGTGGCCTCTCTGCTGCCCTGCGCTCATGGCACTTGACTCCGAGCTGCCCTCTGGGCCCAGCACCCCTCGGGGAGGCCAGCTGTCCTCAGGGGGACACCGCAGGAGAATCGAGCTGGGGGAGTGGCCCAGGGTTCCGGCCCACAGCTGTGGAAGGTAGCTGGGGAGATGGGTTCCCAGGAGAGGGACCAGGGCCTCCTTGGGCCAAAGCCTCTGTAGTCCCCACCCCAGCCTTCTAGAAGAGAACCAGGGCCGGGTGGTCAGCTCGCTGTGTCCTTAGCAAGCCTGGTTTCCCCTCCCCAGGCCACGTCCTCCCCAGGTGGAGCTTGCTCCCCAGCCCTCTCCCAACCCCATTCCTGAAGGCTGGGAACAAGGAGTGCTCTGTCCCGGGTAGCCTGAGAGCTGGGCCCTGCCCTTGGACTTCTCTGAGGAATTCAGGCCTGAGGCCAGGGAGGCAGGGTGCTAGGCTGGGGGTTGGGGAGACGCAGCATGAGGCTAAGGGAGTGCTATCTCCACCCCAGGACTGGTCCTGGGCAGCTCTGCATCGTCATCATCAGAGCCACCGCAGATTATCATCAACCCTGCCCGACAGAAGATGGTCCAGAAGCTGGCCCTGTACGAGGATGGGGCCCTGGACAGCCTGCAGCTGCTGTCGTCCAGCTCCCTTCCAGGTGCTGCCGCCCGGGCTGGCCTCTGGGGTGCTCAGGCGCATCCGTGCCAGCCCCAAAGAGCAGAGTGTCTGTCCCAGTTGCGCTGAGGGCGTGGGGCAGCCGGGCAGGCCACTGGCTTTGGCGACCTCTGGAAGCCCAGCTGGCCCCACATGCCTCCCTTAGCAAGACCCTGGCCCACTCCCTCCCTCCTGACAGTAACCCCTCCTTTAGCCCGAGGGCGCTTGCCCCACTCTGCTTTCAGGAAATTAGGAAGCCCCAGCAGGAATTTTCCATCCCGGGTACTATTTGAAGAACCACTGCTTAGGAACCCTCAGCTGGGTGAGGTGGCTCATGCCTGTAATACCAGCACTTTTGGAGGCCGAGGTGGGAGGATCACTTGAGCCCAGGAGGTAGAGGCTACAGTGAGCCGTGATCTAGCCACTGCACTCCAGCCTGGGAGACAGAGCCAGACCCTGTCTCAAAAACAAACAAACAAAACCCCTCAATTCCCACGAACGCCCCAGGAGATGAGGGAGTATGGCCCAGCCCTTGAGCCAGGGCTTCTGGCAGTGGGGGAGCCTCCCCGATTTGCTAAGCGGACTTTCCTCTTCCTTCTGTAGGCTTGGGCCTGGAACAGGACAGGCAGGGGCCCGAAGAAAGTGATGAATTTCAGAGCTGATTTGTTCACCTGGGCAGATCCCCCAAATCCGGAAGTCAAAGTTCTCATGGTCAGAAGTTCTCATGGTGCACGAGTCCTCAGCATTCTGCAGGCAGTGGGGGCGGGGGCCTATACCCGCGGGGGAGAGAAGGCGGTGGCCCTGCTGTTCTAGGCTCTGTGGGCACAGGCAGGCCGAGTGGAACCCTGCCTCCATGCCAGCATCTGGGGACAAGGAAGGCTGGCATCCAGTGAGGAGGCTGGTGCATGTTGGGAGGCTGCTGGCTGCACAGACCCGCGAGGGGAGGAGAGGGGCTGCTGCGTAGGGGTGTGGAGCAGGGAGCTGGCTCCCCTGAGAGCTAGGCAGGGCGTCCGCAGCCTAGGCCTCTGGCAGCAGCTCTTTGCCCATCTCTTTGGACAGTGGCCACCCTGCACAATGGAGCCGATGAGGCCCAGGGCCCTCCTAGCTGCTTACAATTTGGAAAAGTGTGGCCGGGCATGGTGGCTCACGCCTGTAATCCCAGCACTTTGGGAGGCCAAGGCAGGAGGATCACTTGAGCCCAGTAGGTCAAGACCAGCCAGGGCAACATGATGAGACCCTGTCTCTACAAAAAATTGTTTTAAACAATTAGCCTGGCGTGGTAGCGCACGCCTGTGGTCCCAGCTACCTGGGAGGATCATTTATGCTTGGGAGATTGAGGCTGCAGTGAGTCACGACCGTATCACTGTACTCCAGCCTGGGCGACAGAGCAAGACCGTGTTTTGAAAAGAAAAATCCTGGGAAAAGTATGGCTATAAGTCCTGCGATTCAGTCCTAGCAAGAAGCAAGAATTCTGAGATCCTCCAGAGAGTCGAGCAGCACCCACCCTCCACCTCAGGCCAGTGTGTTCAGGCTTTACCAGGGACCTGTAAGCTGGCCTAATGTGATGGCCTGCAAGTCAGGCTGTCCGTGGGCGCCACGGACGAGCTCCAAGCCAGGTCAGGCTTTGGAGGCCACAAGCACAGCCTCAGGCCCAGGCACTGATTGTGGCAGAGGGGCCACTACCCAAGGTCCAGCTAGGCCCAAGACCTAGTTACCCAGACAGTGAGAAGCCCCAGGAAGGCAGAAAAGTTGGGAGCATGGCAGACAGGGAAGGGAAACATTTTCAGGGAAAAAACATGTATCACATGTCTTTAGAAGCAAGTCAGGTTTCATGTAACTTAGTGTCCTCTTGCGTGTCCAAAAGTAGCCCAGGGCTGTAGCACAGGCTTAACAGTGATTCTGTGTTCAGCCGGGAGTCACACTACATGCCCCCATGAAGCTGGGCATTGGTGAAGTCCAGGTTGTCCTTGAGTAATAAAAACATATGTTGCAATCTCGGGCTGTACTTGTGGACTTTGTTGCACTGAAAGCCTTGAGCTTTCCCAATGCCTTGCACCTCAGGGTTCTTGAGTATCCCAGGTCTTGTTACTACTCTGGGCTGGCCACACCCAGTACTTCCGCGTCAGGTTTTTCCTGATGTAGTCCATGTTTTTTATGCTATTCTAAATGGTATCTTTGATTTTCTAATTCATCATGATATTATACAGAAATGCAATTGATGCTGGGTGTGGTGGTTCACGCCTGTAATCCTAGCACTTTGGGAAGCTAAGGTGGGCAGATCACTTTCGCCAGGAGTTTGAGACCAGCCTGGGCAACATGGCGAAACCCCGTCTCTACAAAAAGTACAAAAATTAGCTAGGCATGGTGGTGCATGCTTGTAGTTCCAGCTACTCAGCAGGCTGAGGCGGGAGGATCGATTGAGCCCAGGACGTTGAGGCTGCAGTGAGCCATGAGTCCACTACTGCACTCCAGCCTGGTCAACAGAGGGAGACCCTGCCTCAAAAAAAAAAAAATGCGGTTGAGTTTTGTATATGAACCTTATATTCTGTGACCTTGTTTAAATTCTTTTTTGTTTTTCCTTTTTTGAGATGGAGTTTTGCTCTTGTTGCCCAGGCTGCAGTGAATGGCGCTATCTCAGCTCACTGCAACCTCTGCCTCCTAGGTTCAAGTGATTTTCCTGCCTCAGCCTCCTGAGTAGCTGGGATTACAGGCACCCACCGCCACACCCAGCTAATTTTTTTTTGTATTTTTAGTAGAAACGGGGTTTCATCATGTTGGCCAGGCTGGTCTCAAACTCTTGACCTCAGGTGATCCATCCCAAACTGCAGGGATTACAAGCATGAGTCACTGCACCTGGCCCTTTTTTTTTTTTCTTGATCAGCCTAGATAGATAGAGGCTTATCAATTTTTATTGTTAATTTCAAAGGACCAATTTTTGCTTTTACTGATTTTTCTCTGTTGGTTTATTTTCCATTTTGTTGATTTCCACTTTTTGTTGTTTCTTTCCTTTCGTTTATTTTGGGTTTAACCTGCTTGTCTCTTTCCAGCTTCCTAAGGCATCACTTTAAATCACTGATTTTTAAGCCTTTCTTTTTTTGAAACGAAGTCTCACCCTGTCACCTAAGCTGGAGTGGAGTGGCACGATATCTGCTCACTGCAACCTCCGCCTCCCAGGTTCATGCCATGTTCCTGCCTCAGTCTCCCGAGTAGCTGGGATTACAGGTGACCACCACCATGCCCAGCTAATTTTTTTGTATTTTTAGTAGAGACAGGGTTTCCCCATGATAGCCAGGCTGGTCTGGAACTCCTGACCTCCAGTGATCCGCCCACCTCGGCCTCCCAAAGTGCTGGGATTACAGGCATGAGCCACTGCGCCTGGCTAGGCCTGTTGTTATGAAATGCCCCTTTCAATCTCTGGTAATATTCCGTCTTTCAAAGTCGGCTTTGTCTGATATGAATATTGCTACTCCAGCTTTCTTATGCTTAATGATTTTCATGGTCTAATTTTTTGCATTATTTTCTTTTAACCTAGCTAGCTGTCTCTCCCCTCTCTCTCTCTCTCTCTCTCTCAATCTCTCTCTCTCTGTGTGTGTGTGTGTGTGTGTATATTTTTTTTTCTTTTTTTTTTTTTTTCCTTTTTTAAACGAAGGATCCACTCATGTTGCCCAGGCTGGGAGTGCAGTGGTGTGATCTGGCTCAGCTGCCCTCCACCATCCCAGTTCATGGCAATTCTCAGTGCCCTCGCCTCACTGGTACTGGGAGTTACAAAGTGCTGTGCCACTGCGCGCTGGGCCTAGGTTTTGTATTTTTGAGTAGAGATGGGGTTTCATCCATTTGGCCAGGTTGGGTCTTGAAACTCCCCCCTCAATGTCCACCCGCCCTTCCAGGCCTCCCCCAAAGTGCCTGTGAATTACAGGTGTGAGTCCACTGTGCACCTGGCCCAAAGCTGTCGTTTATATTTACATTTTTCCCTTTTTTTTTCCTTTTTTTTTTGAGATGAGTGTTTGTTCTTGATTGGCCCAGGCCCCTGCAATGCAAATGGCACGGGTCCTGTGCTCATTGTCAACCTCCCGCCTCCCAGGTTTCAGGGTGATTCCCTGCTCAGGTCTCCCTGTAGGCTGGGCATACAGGCCGTCCGCCACCACGACCGACTATTTTTTTTATTTTTTAGGTAAGAATGGGGTTTCCCCATGTTGTCCCAGGCTGGTCTCGAACTCCTGACCTCAGGTGATTCACGCACCTCGGCCTCCCAAAGTGCTGGGATTGCAGCGCTGTGGAGGTTACTGTGCGGGCCCGCCTTATTCGTTCCAGATAAGAGTCTGACTCTGTCACCAGGCTGAAGTGCCGTGGGCTAATCTCGGACGTTACGACAACCTCTGGCCTCCCAGGTTCAAGCGATTCTTCTGCCTCAGCCTCCTAGTAGGCTCGGACTACGTTTGGTGTGGCCAGCCAAGCCCGCTAATTATGATTTATATTAGGTGTTAAGGTAAGAAGGGTTCCCGATGTGGGCATAGCTGAGTCTCAAATCCGTGAGCGTCAGGGTGATCTGCTGCGCTCAGTCCTCCCACGCAGGCGGTGGGGGATTACAGGTGCGTGAGCACTGCAACCAGCACAGCCTTACTCCTTTTAAACAATCGGCGCAATCTCGCCGTTGTGTTGTCTGTGTTGTAAATGCATTGACATTGAATGGTTAGGGTTAAGTCCTATCATTCTTTATTTTGTTTCTATTACCCCATCTGTTCTTTTGTTCTTTTTTTCCTCTGTTTTTGACTTCTGGATTAATAACATGTTTCTGGGGACTCCATTGTTTCTCTGCTATTGGCTGGTCGCTCTGGTAACTCTGAGAGTGCTGGTGCTGCTCAGACCCCCTTGCTAAACCATGGTCTGAAAGTGCCTCCAGGCAGAAACTCGCGGGTGGCTTGTAAGGCTCACCTCTTTGTTTTCTCTCTGCTCACAGCCCTGCACGGCCTATTGTCCAATATCTGAAAATAGGTTGCCCAGTTTTTTAGGGTGTTACAGCTGGCATCAGTTATTTCCATCGTGGCCAAATTGCAAGTTTCTCCTCTTTTCTGAGGACTTGTTCACTCATAATGTCACCCTACATGATCAATTTCTTCCTGGCTTCTTGGATCTATTTCTTTTTTCTTTCTTTCTTTCTTTTCTTTTTTTTTTTTTTTTTTTTTGAGACAGAGTTTCACTCTGTCGCCCAGGTGGAGTGCAGCGGCGCTATCTCGGCTCACTGCAACCTCCGCCTCCCGGGTTCAAGCAATTCTCCTGCTCGACCTCCTGAGTAGCTAGAACTACAGGCGTGCACCACCAAGCCCGCAGTAATTTTTGTATTTTTAGTAGAGATAGGGTTTCCTTATGTTGGCCAGGCTGGTCTCCAACTCGACCTCAGGTGATCCGCCCACCTCGGCCTCCCAAAGTGCTGGGATTACAGGCGTGAGCCACTGCGCCCAGCCTCTGGATCTATTTTCATCAAACATGTCCTGGTAGCTTCCGTTCTTGAAGAATAAAAATAAAAACTCACTTGACCCAACACCCCCTCCAACCACAACCCTAATTCTCTGTTCCTCTTTGTAGGTGAACTTTTCGGAATCCTTGTCTGTTTTCTCACTTGCCCATTCCTTGTGCAGTACCTCTTCCTCTGCTTCTACGCTGCCACTCCATCCAATCAGTGTTCGTCCAGGACAGCAGTGATCTCTGTGTTGCCAAATCCATCCAGTCCTCTTGGACTTTCTCTCGCCGGTGCCCACTCCCCTGCCAACCACTTGTCTCTTGTGACCTCTGTGATGCTGAAGTCTGTGCTCTTTCTGTGTGCTGTGAGCTCTCTACCCAGCCCCTACAAGGTGTGAGTTCCTCCAGATACACCCCTGCGCCCTCTTAGCTGCCTGCATCTCCGTCATGCTTTCTCCTCTGAGGTTTTGGTCTTCCGATTTCTCTCACAGGCACCATAAACTTAAATGGCCAACCAGACTTGGGATTCCCTTTCACCGAGCTTCCCACCTCAGCATGTGGGACTAGTTCCAGCGCTCACCCAGCTGCCCACGCCAGAGCCTCCGCAGTTAACGCTTTTCTGAAAGACGTTGTTAGGGAGGTATAAGTTAAAGGTAGAAAAGTACACAAACTGTACTTGTACAGCCCAATGACTGTTTTATACATACACGGCCATGTGGCAGCCACCACATAGACCCACATATTAATCTGCTCCAGTTATCTCTTGCTAGATACCAAGCTGCCCCAAGATGTAAGGGCTGAAAATAATGGCAATGTTTGTTTTGCTCGTCAGCCTGCGCTCTGTGAGGTCTCAGTTGGCAGAGCTCATCTGCTGCAGTTGGTTAGCCGGGGCGGCCCAGTGGCCACGAGCTGGAACCACCCATCCTTCGTGTCCAGCGGAGGATGCTGCCAGGGTGAGGACACCTCTACGTCCCTGGAAGGCTGGGTTCTCCGGGGAACATCTCAAGCCAGAAAGCCCAGCGGAGGCCACATCATCTGATGGCCTGACCTCGGGATCAGGTGCTGCCACTTCCCCAGCAGCCTGCTCACTAGACGCAAGTCCCTGAGGCCAGTGTATGCAAGGGGAGAGGCGCTGTAGGTCGCCTTTTTTTGATGAGTGTAACACCAGAGAACGTGTGGACATGTTACAAACCACCCCAAGGGGATTCTGGCACCCCAGAAAGGTTTCTTACAAGAGACAACCACTCTCCTGGCTTTAAACGCGTATAGTTTTGCATGTTCTAGAAGTTCATGTCAATGAGATTGTGTTGTGATTTAGTTTGGGCGTGTGTCCCTGCCCCAGTCTCCAGTGCTGGAGGCGGGGCCTGGTGGGAAGTGACTGGGTCTCATGAGTGGTTCCACGCCATCCCTGGGTGCTGTTCTCATGATAGTTGTTTAACGGTGTGTAGTGCCCCCACTGTCTGGCTCTTGCTCCTGCTGTGGCCATCTGATGTGACTGCTCCCCCTTTGCCTCCCGCCATGACTGCAAGCTTCCTGA